GATTCATTTGGATTTTGAGACTTTCATTTCGCGGGTTTCGCCTTGCACGATCCACACACAGCTGTCTGAGAAAAGCTGCTACCACTAGATGGCAGTATTCTGCTAAAACAGACAACGGCAGCATAATCAAGCGTTCTTCCGCATTTAAGACGCTTAATGAGAGTGATATTGAAGCACCAAATTTAGTACACAATAATATAGGCCTACCCTACTAATAAAGCATACTTTATAGAGGTAAACATTACGTCAGATTATGAACAACACCCATAGAAAACCATTATAAAACGCTTAACGTGCAATCGCGCGTTGCATGTTCAGTAAGGTGTATTGGCTACTGAGTTTAAATATCACCGTCTTACTGCATTGACGTTAAGCTTTTTCTTTATAATATGCTCTATGGGAGGAAAACTATATAGCCTACAGACAAGAGACTACATGAACGCAATGTACGGCGTTTCAAGTTAATAACATTTTCCTTCCCGAGCCTGTTAAAAAGAAAAAGCTTAACATGAAATAAAAATTCTGCAGTTGCGTTTAACTTTGCATGTGAATGGGAGAGCAACCGGTCCGAGAGTGCAGTGAAGTAAGTTTTAGGTTTGATATTCGCCTCATTTTATTAAGGGACCATCTGCAAACTCCACTCACAGTCAAAAAAATATAAACGTCCAGTCATTCATTCAAATGAACATATTTCCAAGGTTATATTATAACCTTGGAAGTCTAGTGGGCAGACTGACTTAGCCTACTGTTACTGTACTATGTCCAGCCAATATCTCGATTGAACAGTAGCCTACAATTTTTTAATTTACTGTAAATTGTTTTTCTATTCATGTTCCAAAGGTTGTAGTACGTTCCTAGTGACAAGTCAGGTGAAATTTTACATTATTCACTTGTAGTAAGTCACCAAAAACCCGTTTGGTTAATTACAGTAATTTTTTTATAAAATAATAATTGTTTACTAAATAGGCTACATGAAGGGAGTTATTGGGGCAATTTCACCTGTAGTAAGCCAGTCTAGTCACTGA